GGGGCACACCCAGCCTCTATAAAGTGGGTACTCTTAATTAAATAATTAATTAAGGGAGAAACCTGGCGGTTGAGCGTGATCTCGGTCAAATCACCTCCTTGCACAACCGTTGACCTAGAAACAGTACTTTCCCTAAATAGTACTGAACCCCAGACCCTTCATGGGTTGTAGTGGTACAGGTTAGGTTTAATAAGTAGATCAACACTATAAAATCACAAACCATATATATATATATATATATATTTTTTTTTATTCCTTTTATTGTTTTTTGTTCCTTAAATATTGTTATCACAGTTAAATTAGTATTAGGATATTCATATATTCTTCACAATAAGGGAAATATATATTTGGTTCAAAGAAGTATTGTAATTAACGTATTGTAAACCACCGATTCTTAAAAGATGCCTAAGGACACTAATAATCACAATAGTTACCTTAGTTATCAGTTAGTTTAAATCAGTAATAAATGTTATTATGATGTGCTTACTCACTAAATTTATTTTTTCTCAAGGTTCCACTTCAGAGGACCCTGTACGGAAACAGTGCCGGAAGCACTTTCAGTCATAACATCAGTATTATAATTAATTATATTACTTTTTATTAATTAATTAGTTTCATAATTTGGAGTTCCTTCTGTTAGATCTTACTTTTTATGTTTAATTCATTTAGTCTTTCAAAATTTGTATACCTTCTTAAACTATTTTATGTTCAACGTTTACACATTTCTGGAAAACTACAATATACTTTTTTGGGATAAATATTATAGTGTAATAACAAGGCAATGGTTTTAGTAAAAATTTAATCATATATAGATTAAATATAATAATTATATAAAATAAATCTCACAAAAAATTAATATGAACAGCCTTAATAAGTTTGTTTATCATAAAGTTATTTTTTAAACTTCATTTAATTCTTGTTTATTGCATGGATTAAATATAACATTGTTTAGAAATCGATATTAATTATAAATAAGCCTATAGTAATACTTCTGATTGTAAAAATATTTTTTCATTTATATATTATCACATTTTATTATTACATTTACAAAGAAAAACACAGCCTTTGTCAAAAGTATTATGTCATCTGTTAATACTAATTTGTAATTTAATTTAAACAAGGACCACCTTGTGGTAAATAATTGATCAAAAACACATTAGTTATATGGTGATTTATTAATGGAATTAAAACGAGCACAACAGCATTTTGAAGGCAGTAATGATTCGGTCAATTATTATTATAAAAATTTTGTTAAGATGTGGAAAAAAAAAAATTAAACATAAACTAATCACCTTGAAATTCATCGTATATGGTACCATTTTCCTTGATAGATCCCATTATTTTCAAAATGGTAACATGTTTAAGTTGCTTACACTTCATTTTAGATTTTTCTCAGTTTAAATTAAGAGCGGTGTTAATATTATTTAATACAAGTGTGCACATAAAGTGGCCGTACATTGCATAATGTAGTCAATGGATCTGATCAATGAAAAAAGGTGCTGTTTCTTTTAAAATGATAAATTCCATTCGATATTGAAATTTGCCAAAATCATACCGAATAACATAACAAATCCAGTCCATTAAACTTTTTATTTTTGATAGATCACAAAGATTTGTTATTGAAAATAATAAGCCAAAATATATGTACAAAGTCTATTAGAGTGTATAAGTGGTAATATGCATATGCAGTACTTTTTCCAAAAAAAAAAAAAAAAAATGTTGAATTTTATGTTATTCGTTAAATGCTAATAATAACTGAAACTATTTGATAAAATAAGACAGCTAACTTGAAGGTTCTATACAGATACCACCAACTCTCAATGCCTGTTGACAAAAGCTGAAAAAAATATTTGAATTAGAAAGAAGATGTTTATAAGGAGTTAAGAAAAGTCTTTATTTAATCTTCTTCTATGAGAATAGTCTTGATGATGCAAAGGGAGAATGGCAGAAACTCTCGGGACTAGGAGAGTCTAAACTTTTAATCTGGCCCTGCTCCTCACCTTTCAGATCCATTTTCTTCTACTGAGACCTTTACATAACTGAGTACCCTGAAATGTTGCTTGATTAATTTTTTATGTTTAAAATAAAAATTACACTTAATTATTGATTTCTTACATTTGCAATTGATTTGGTGATGTTAAAATTAAAGTAATCTACTTTAAATAAAAGTTTCAAAAATCTATGAGCTTGATGGTCATTTATGGGTACTTTTATAAGATAACTTAAGAATGTACAAATGTTCATGAAATTCTGCTGTATAGAATAGAGGCACCACTATGAAATAACATTGATGGATTATTTGATGAAAATATTTAATATATTTAGTTGCTTAAAACTCTACGTTACGTCCCAATCAAAGAGAAAAGTTTAAATTTAAAAAAAATGAAAACTAAATTACAAACTAGATTACATAATTATTTATCAAATGGTATAAACATGAATGATAGATTATCTAATATCAATATTAATAATATATTGTAAAATTACATAAGGTCAACAAAAGTTCTTGAAATATGTGATGTTCAGTAAGGCTCATTGAATAGCTTTTTTATAACTCTTCATAAACTTAATTTGTGCATTTGTAACAATTTATTTCTTGAATAAGCAATGTCGAATTTTTTGTCATTTTTCCTGAGATTTCTAAAAATATTCTTTTTCAAACATTTCCGTGAGGCACAAAAAGCAGGTTGCAGATTATATCCAATTTGCAATCTATGACTGTAATATGTTGTAAGACTTATGGCATGAGATGCCCGATTAGTCTAATATGCAGTTATTGTTTATGGCTTGTATTGTTTATATTCAATGATATGATTTAACTTAAATGTTGTTTGATCTTGCAAAATGAAGTTTTGGCAGGGCTCGTTGGTATGTTGAGGTATATGTTTGGCAAATAATGATAATGCCATCAAACTTTCAGGTTAGCTGAGTTTTAAATTATTTATTTAACTGTAATGTAGCCTTTATGACACATGAATTGACAAACATCAGTTGATTAGTTATTGACTATAACTTAAAATACTTTAGTTTTTCGTTTTAGAGTATTCTAAAAATAATTTAATTTATGATTTTTATCTCTAATTTAATGGACCATCTTGATAGCGTTCTTTTGTACTTATTTCTACTATAATGGCTGGAAAATACTCTAAAAATGCCTACAAGCAGTTTTCGTTTATAAAATTGAATATATACATTAAACAGAAAATGAAAACTTTTTAAGGTACCTGATATCTTAAGGCTGTGTTTGAGTTTTTTTTTTGTATTAATGGTCAATAATATGAATGATGATGTTAGTCTTTATTATATTTTTATTTATGTAATAAATTCTCAAACTATTGTATATATTTAGTTAGTATATCTACATATTAACTCTCATTAGTTCAATTTACTACTGTAGTTGTTAATAATACAATTTTATTTTGTACATTTATATAATTATAATGAATATGTAATTAGCTATTTATTTAAATTTTGTTTTGTCTGAATCTATCTTGTATACATTTAGTTTTATCATTGTAATGTTAATAAATTTTATTTTTATTTACAATGAAATTTTATTTACCTTTGATAATTTAATTCAACCTATTAAATATTGTAGTGGTATATGATGAAGGAGAAATAAATGTTATTAATTATTATTTCTCGCAATAATTATATTCCATGAGGCAGTTATACCTATATAACATTGTTGTTTGGATTAATATTGAGAAACGTTATTCCATTATAACTATGTATATATAACTAACAAAAGAATCATGATTTGCTATGTTTTCTTTTGCATTTTTTCTCTCTTAATTTATTAATTAAAACTTGTTATGCATTATCTCTGATAACAATAAATGTTATTGTTTGTTTCTTTTAATTTACAGAATTAGAAGCCTTAAATTAGCCTACATTATGTAATAAAAGAGGATTGGTAATTTATGAGGTTGATGGCAGGCCATTTTTTTATATGTAATTTGCAAATGATATTCCTTAGTCTTTTGAATCTTCTTTAATCACAATGATTATCATATTTCAGTGCAGAATATTCTTTATTCCTTCATTGCTTTGTAACTTTTTCGGAAATTTTGTGTGCAATATTGTTTAAATAGCCTTTTCAGATTGTTAACCAGGATTATGAAAACTTTAAATTGATTCTTAGGCTTACTTTTTATCAGTATGATCATTTATCTCCCTTAATAAAGTTTGCTATATGTAGTGTGTTCGTTCAATGTGGATAGTTGTACTTGAAGTAAAGCGTTTTTGTTAAAAGTAACTTTTTTATCATTTCAAATATAGTATACTTCTTCTCTTTGACACGCTATTTAAAAGAAACAGCTATAGAAATGTTTTATATCGAAAATAGAAACAGGAAGATTTGGTATACCACTTGCTTAGATGTTGCTAAGAATAAATATATTATTTATATAAAAGAGGAGCTGGTCAGGGTGTGCAGTCACAAGTAACAAACTAAAATAAATAAATTATGTTTATTTTTATTTTTGCCAACATTTCGACCCAACGTTCAGCCCTGAACTTTGGGACGAAACATCAGAAAAAATAATTATAATTTATTTATTTTATTTTGTTGCTTGTGACTGCACACCATAGCCAACTCCTCTTCAATATATCCTAGCAGGCAACTATTAATCTACTATTATTTATAATTCTTATAAAGTATTTCACAATTTTCCATAAGTTTTTTAAAACTTTGAATGGTAAAACCACAGAACATATATAGAATTGGTTCAGATTCAGGTAAAAAATAAAACATCAATAAATGAAATGCTGATCATTAAAAGTTTATTCTATATTTGAAAATAAAAATTGAAGATTTATAAAAACATTAAAGATATAAACTATTATATTATTGTCATTATTTATTGGATTTATTGAGGCTAGCTATTATGAAGTTTATTCTTTTACAGTAGTATGTGTATATTAAATAACCTAAAGATCTCAAAAATAAATACCAAATGGATATTATGTGCTCAAGATTTTTACTTTTATTAATTTAGTTTCAGGTTTGCTAACTGGGGAAGTGACTATAAATGGACCAGCTTAATGAAATCTGCTCATCCATCAAGCCTTTATTGTAATCAAACACTGCTTAGAAACTATAGTACATCAAATGCACCTCCTACGTAAGTGTAATTTTTAAATTATTATAATCATTCATTCATGTATGGCACAACATCCCGTTACCGAGACTGGGCCTCCTCCAAGAGCCTCCGCCAGTTGGCTCTGTCTTCTGCTGCAGCTCTCCAGTTCCGCACACCAAGCAGGGTTCTCGCATCATAGGCCACGTTGTCCAACCATCTCGTCCTCGGCCTTCCTACCCGTCTTACGAGGTGCAGCTCCTCCATCATTATTTTTTTTGGTATTTCAAGGGTGCTCATTCTGGCCACATGCCCTGCCCACCTTAGTCTGGCCAGTTTAATATACGTGACTACGTCGATGTCTGCATAGAGAGAACTGAGCTCCCTATTTTTTCTTTTCCTCCAGACATCACCCTCCTTTACTGGACCATAAATCCTTCTGAGGACTCCTCGCTCAAAGACACTCAGCTTCATCTCATCCTTTTTAGTCATCATCCAAGCCTCTGAGCCATATGTCAAAACAGGCCGAACAAGGGTCTTGTATATGATTAGCTTGGTCTTCTTTGAGAGGTACCTACTTCTTAAGTGTCGGCCAAGTCCAAAGACACATCTATTGGCAGCCGTGATCCTTCTTTGTATTTCTTGAGCCATGTCATTCTTGCTATTAATTTCAGACCCAAGGTATATAAAACTTTTCACTCTCTCAAACTTAAAAGAACCTACCTCAAATGGAGAGTTCAGATCCACCTCACCGCCAACTCTCATATACTTAGTTTTCCTCTCGTTGACTTCTAGACCAAGTGGTCTTGCAGCTGCTTCAAGGCTTATAAACGCTTCTCTGAGAGCCCGTTCAGACCTACCTATTATGTCAATATCATCAGCAAAACCAAGAAGCTGTGTCAGGCGATTGAAGATTAGATCTTTGGTCTGAATACCGGAGTCTCTTATAGCTTTCTCCTCTGCCAAATTGAACAATAGACAGGCGAGGGCATCCCCTTGCCTAACCCCACTGCTCACTTTAAACTCTTCGGAGTCGTCAGAACCGACGCGTATTCTGCATCTCGAGCTGTCCATGGTCATCTTGATTAGGCGTACGAGCTTCTGAGGGATGCTTAGCTCCTCCAAGGCACAGTATAGTTGCGTTCTATCAACGCTGTCGTATGCTGCTTTAAAGTCCAGGAATAAATGGTGGGTGACTACCTTACGCTCCATAGTCTTTTCTAGGATCATCCTCAGAGAGAACAGTTGATCAGTGGTTGAGCGTCCTCTTCGAAATCCAGCCTGATATTTCCCCAGTTCCTTTTCAGAATACGGGAGGATCCTCTCAAAAAGAATGTTAGAGAGCAGCTTATAAGCACACGAAAGGAGTGAGATTCCTCGATAGTTAGCGCATTCTGTTTGATCTCCTTTCTTATGTATTGGGCAGATAATGGCTGTTGCCCATTCCGTAGGTATAGCTTCCTTCTCCCAGATGGTCAGCATTAAATCATGCAGAGCTTTCTTGAGTTCTTCACCTCCACATTTCAACAGCTCCGACTGGATTCCGTCCGGGCCTGGCGCCTTTCCATTTTTCAATTTCCTCAGGGCGTTTTCCATTTCCTCCTCATCCGGGGGTTCAATAGAATTCAGAGAGTCTTCCTTCATTACACCTACTTCTCCAGGCACCGTTCCTCTGTTTAATGCGCCTTTGAAATGTTGTACCCATCTCCTTAGTACGTCATCTTTGTGGCTTAAAAGAGTTCCATTTGTGTCTTTGCATGCCGTCACTCTGGGCCTAAAAGCTGCCCTACCCTCGTTTATTCTCTGAAAGAACAGGCGACTTTCATTTTGGCCTCGCAATGTCTCTGTGTCCTCCATGTTCTTATTTTCCCAAGCTCTTCTCTTTCCGCGGAATAATCTCTTCTCTTCGCGTCTTTTTCTTCTATATGTTTCTTGGGAGAGCCTTGTGGGACGCTGAACCTTCTTTCTGTAGGCTTCATTTTTCACTTTTACTGCTTGAAGGCACACAGCATCAAACCATGGGGGCCTTCTAGATTTAGTCTCGTAGCCAAGAGCTTCTTCTGCTGCCTGTTTCATTGCGTTGCTGCATCTCTTCCACTGTTCATCGACCATAGAGCTGTCATTAATTACTTCTTCATTAAGTTTCGTCTCCACAGCTTGTTGATACGAATATTGGTGGTCTGAGTCCTTAAGTTTAACCACATCAATGTTCTTCTTTGGTCGTTGGTAGTGGTTTTTAATCAGCGAAATTCGTGATCTGACCTCGGCAATGCTCAAATAGTGATCCGTGTCCATATTTGCACCTCTATAAGATCTTGCATTTATCATGTTGGACTTGTGACGGGCACTAATGAGTACATGGTCTATCTGTGATGCTGTTTGCCCATTTGGAGAGATCCATGTTGCTTTGTGGATATTCTTTCGAGGAAAAAGAGTTGTTCCAACAACCAGTCCGTGCAATGTAGCAAAGTTCACCATCCGTAGCCCATTATCATTACTGGTCTCATGCAAGCTGTGGGTTCCTATGGTCGGCATGAGTGCCACCTCCTTACCAACTTGTGCGTTAAAGTCACCAAGAATGATTTTAACATCATTTTTGGGGCAGCTTTCTGTCACGCGTCCAAGTTCTTCATAAAATCCTTATCCTCCTCAGGTGACACCTCTGTTGGGGCATGGCAGTTGATTAGAGAGAAATTAAAAAATTTTCCTTTAAGCCGAATGTAGCATAACCTTTGGTTAATGGGAGTAAATCGCATCACTAACTGTCGAGCTCTGCCTCTCACAACAAATCCGGTACCGAAGATGTGATGCTTTTCATGGCAGCTATAGTAGAGTGTATGGTACTTCTTCTCCATAATTCCCTGTCCTATCCATCGGACCTCTTGGATAGCTGCTATGTCGATTCTGTATGTGTCCACTTCTGCAAGGAGCGCACGAAGTGCTCCTAGTCTATGTAATGATAAAATGTTCCAAAATCCAATTCTTAGGTCATTTAGGCGTTTCCTGGGTCTGTTACCGTAATTCAGTCCGGCTTCTTCTCTTTGAGGTTTCGTAATAAGGTACTTTAGAGGGGGTGGGTTATCAGCCCACTGCCCCCGAGTCAGGTAGAGGGGCTGCCTCCTCCGAGCATCCTGACTAGCTCCCCCATCCGGGGCGGCTACCTAGGGAAGGTGACCCTAGGGTGTGTACTGTAGGTGACCTTTGTCTGTAGTGTTTAGGTGTTGTAGTGTGCTGTCTAAAGTGTACTTGGTGTGTGAGTGTTCGTGTAAGTGTTCCCCCAACCTGGAGGGCCAGTGGCTGGTTGCGGTACAATGACCGGGCGATGGGACCGCCACCTCCCTACGCCATTATAATCATTACTGTGATCAATAAATAAAATATTCAAGTTAGTATGGGATTACAAATGAAACTCTTAAAGAGAAATGAGTTCCAACAATTTATGATCCAACATTGCATTGGTCTCAGAATAAATTATGTTGGTCGTTTGAAAAAAGTACATTAAGCTGGTTCTTGTTTTTATAAAAAGCTATTTTTTTTAAACTTTAAATTAAATTATTTTTTTTATTATAGTTATTAATTTTATTTTCCTTTACATTCTGATTAAACTTTTTGAATTTGATTAAATTGAATTTAAAGTAGACGTTGATGATCTTGAGGTTTTACACCTCTAAGCCCTAAATAACAACTGAATTTAGATTACCTATACCTTTTTCTTTGTTATCTTTATGATAGGTGCCTGTTCCTGATTCATAGGCTGTTAGAGAGCCATCCGTATAACAATTTATACCATTTTTTGGTTTGTGTTGTCTGCTGATTTCTATCTCGACCCCATATTTGCAGTCCAGATACTCACGGATTAGGGTATCGGAGTGCATGGCTAGCACTTTGTCATATCCAATCCTGTTCAGCAGTTTTTTATGTTCCTTTTGAATAGGGATAACGGAACAGCTGTTTAGCTTACCCGGTCTGTATAATGTATTTGTTGCTCGAGCTCTACCTCCAACTGCAATGGTGGCATGTTCAACATTATCTCCATAGCAGCAGTCGGTGTGGAGCCCATTGCTCCCTTTATCATCAGACAGGCTAGTCTTTGAATTTTTCCTAATGAGGTTGAATTACTACAGTCTTGGTTTTGTGCCACCAAAGCAAAGCTGAGTATAATATAATGAATCTGACAGTCATTATATACAGCCAGTATAACATTTTAGGTTTGAGTCCCAAATTTTTTCCTATTGCTCTTCTACAGGCCCTTAGGCATTTGAGGGCTTTACTTGTCATGTTTTGAGCATATTTGGTCCATGACAATTTATGGTCCAGTAAAATTCACCAAAAAAACTTCCTTGGACCATAGCTTGGGGACCTCTATTTTAGATGATAATCCTTATTTTTTATTTTTTTTTATAAATAAAAAAGTGTATTTATGATTACTGACTGGTGCTTTTTATTGCCTAAGCCAATTATTTTTAAATATTTTTTCATGTTTTATTGTTTTCCCACTATCCAGCTTTAATAAAAGACCAACTATGACGAAATTAAGCCAAATGCTGATTCTCAGTGACCAAAAAACTAACTAAAGTCAAAGTCGTCAGTCTGCCATGTTTGGACGCCATTTTGGGGCAGTGCATTCACTTTTTTTTGTGTGAACATTGGCTTTTTTTTTAATAAATAGTTACAAGGAACACAACTATATGCAAGTTATAGCGATGTGGGGGGGAGGGAAAGGTGCACGGTAGGGGAGTCTGACGCACTATGTATAAGAGCTAATAGGGGTATCCCAAACAAATGACCTTGGTCAGGACATAAATCATAATGCTTCCACCTGTGGTGTACTGGAGACTGTTAACTTTGGAGGATGGGGTGGCCGAATAGGCTAATACATGTTTAGAATACACTCTGTCCGGCCACCTGATAAACCAAAAATCATGAGTTCGAAAGCCAGAGCCTGAGGGCATCCAAGTTTGGCATCGATCCACCCTCCCCTCTGCCTTGGCTCGGTAAAAAACACATATGACGGAAAAGGCGAGATATATGAAGAAAAAATCTGGGTTGTAAAGCCAGCTAATAATCCCCAGGACAGGGACAACAAATCTAAGGCACCCGTTACTTTTGTATCTAAAGCATCCTCATTGAAGTTAATTGATTCATTTCATTATAAGACTAAAGTGTATTTTTCTGTTTTTTAGATTACTTATTTATAATATTTCTTTACAAAGATCTTTTAAATATAAAATAGATTTTACGAATATGTAGTACAATATTGTGTAATTTTAAAATTTGATTCCCATTATGTTTTGAAATAATTAAAACAAAAGGATTTTAAACCATAAATGTAATGTTGACATAGTTCAAAGAGTTCAATACAATTTTTTCATTAAGATTTTAGACGATGTTCAAGTGATTTAATCTTTCAAATACCAAAATTTAACAATGATCAAACACTATCCTTGTTACTTTTAAACAAGAATAAAGCTGAACCATCCACTTACAGTTCAGCTACAGCTTGATTGTGATTTCACTTAAAAAAGCATTTCTATTAAAGCTATTACTAAATAGATAATATTTATTTTCAAATCATGTGAAATTAACTCTACCTTTTATTGAAGAATATACTATTATCATAAATTATCATCTGTTATATGATGTTCTTTTCAAACTTGAAGAATGTTGTATTTATTCATTTCTACTTTCTCATGATCTGAAAAAAAAAATAAACTGCCCCATTTTTATTTTTTTCTGTGGTTTTAAGAAAGTCATGGCCCTCTTGAATGAGAAGCACTGCCTTAAAGGAAGGCTAGAAATTAATACTAAAACATACCTCTATATTATTGATGAAACTTTGTATATGCTACTGTTATGATTCATTTAGGTTTGTTTGGCTCCAACCCAGACTAACTCTGTACAGAATGTTATCTGGGAAACAGCTTTACACATACTGTATTAGAGAAGACTGCTAGAAAACACAAAGATATAGGTCATGAAGAAAATCATGCAAACCACATAGTGAGACCAGTTGTTTAATACAGCTGCTTCTCTGTACAATCAAGTTATAACTAAATAAAATGAGGTAATATTGTTGCTTGAGGTCTCACTGATGGTTACTGCTGTTTGCTCTTAGTATGATATATGTGTCTCCCACATCCATTTAATGGTAATCATCAACCCCTTAGTTAAAACAGGCTGTTTTGAAAGTTCATTTATGTATTCTATTATTTTCTATTGCAGTCTGCATGATTTTAGTTAGTTTAAGGCACCTGCACATGGGGTTATTAAGTGGTGGCCAGTGAAATAGCCGGACAGTAGGCCTTCTCACAAGGAAAGTATTCAACTTCAACTTCAAATACTCATGTGGCCATCAGTAGTCAGTTGGGTAATTTTATTTATTCTCCTCTCCCCAAATATTAGACGTAGCAAACACCACAGCAGGTTCGAGAAATGGCCTTTTTCAATAGTAATTGTATACCGAAATATCAGGTTTGGATAGTTAGTAGTATGTCAATACTTTTCCCAACTAATTGTTATTCAGTTGGAGATCACAATTATAACTATTGTACGATAGTTGAAAAAAGTATTTTTGATGGCGAATATAACTATTAGTTCCAGTTTTGTTTGTAAATCTATTAATAATATCAATCCAATCTGGGCATTGTTGGAATATTTTATTTAATAAACAAATTAATGGAAATAATTCATAAAACCAGCATTTTGTTATAATTCATAAATAACCGTTTTGTTTTTCTTATACGCCACTATTAATTTTTCATGCAATATGAAGCATTTATGATTTTACATTCACTACTTTTTGAAAGACTTCATGCTTAGTAGAATGAATGTTCAATGTCCATTAAAATTTTTCTCACAATGTCATATTGTTATCGGTGATATGCAAAATTAATCACTAAGCGAATAGGTGCTGCTCTCTATTGGAAACTTAATGAAACTGTTAAATTGGTTCCTCCTCGTATATAACAATTTAAGGTATAATATCGTTCTCGAATAAAATAGTAAATCCCTGAAATCATAGAAAAATGAATTCTGTAAGAATAAAAAATAGTTGTCAGGCATTCTCAACCAATACAATGCTATTAATTCTGTAAAACATCAGCAAATACGAAGCATTAAGTGTCAAAAAACAAAATTACTGCATAAGCAAAAACAAATCAATGGTTGGGCACACTCATCCTCTGCTAAAATACCATTAAGTCTCTCAAATATCAGTTAATATAAAGTATCTAGTCCTTTTAGTCACAGAAAAACAAAATTGTGTCTGAGAGCACTAAGCCTCAATGAGGAGGATTCTTGGCCCTTTGATGGAGAGGAAAATAAAATTTATTATCTATTTCAAAATTTTCAATTATTACTCTGTATATCTTAGTCTTTTTCCTCCAATTGCAAGTTCCTTGTTAGAGTCTGAATCCATTCAAATAATAAAACAAGTAAAAGTCATCAATTATTGTAGTTGTAGCTGTAGCTGTATAACTCCAACTACAGGCATATCTGTTAGTCGAAATTGTGCGCTGTAAGTACTTTGATTAATATTGACAGATATTTGTGGTTTTGTAATTTGTAGTTAAAGTACTTTTTGCCTCGACTTGAGATGAAATCTAATTAATTTATAAACTAAAATTCTTAATTTATTAATCTAAAAGGACATAGTGACCCTGTTTCTAGTCTCTTGTCCTCCACTAAAAACAAACAGGTTTGATTTTAATGGTCTCCAATAACTTTTTTCGTTTACCCCTACCTCACCATTTCTGGCATAGGAGAATTGTTCTAGAGGTGCGACCAAATCTATTCTAACCAAAGTAAGACCACCAGTGACTGGTAGCCTCAAATTGTGCTTTGAAGAATCAATACTACAGCATACGGTGGCACTAGTTTGATATTTACTGTCTGCTGTTGAGGGCCACATGTGCAGGCGTCTCTAAACTGTCTAACAGTTTTGGAATTTTGTCTGTGATAGCTGTGCGTGATTTATCCATGAAAGCTCGCATGTTATAATTCCTTAACATTTCAATATTTTTATTTGGGTTAAAATTAGCTGTTATAATATTAAACTTCATTATTGATCATGGTCATGTTACAATGGTTTCTTGGAATAACATGGGAGTGTGGAACAAGAAAAAAAGTTGTGAATCAAGTTCTTGTTCATCATGTTCTGTTAATATAATCTCAGTATATAATCAAAATATCCTTGCTTGATGTATTTTAATTATGAGGGCCAAGGTCAGTGAACTGTTATCAAACCATGATGGTGAGAATCAAACCTCTAAAGTCCTTGGTTTTTCTAGATCAGACATAATCACATAAATATTTAATTTTAAAATAGTGACCTATTTCAATCCTAATGAGACCTGTTTCACTGAAATAATAGCTATGATGAGAATTATGAAAGATTTTTAAATAGTTAGATCTTCAAATTAGCTTTATTTTAAAATAAAAATTATATTAATCTAATCAATTGTTGTCAATTAGGAGTAATGGAGTAAAACATGGAACTGAAGCTTCACAAAACCCTGAGAAGCATACTCTTTCATTGAAAGATAAACTGAAGATTGCTGTGAGAGATTATGGATCAACAGTTATTGTTTTTCATATTACTCATTCATTAACTCTGCTTGGAATTATATATGTTGCTATTTCCAGGTTTGTAAAGTTAATTTAAAATGTATATTTAATGGTTATATTACTAATAGTTATAATTAATACTATTTACAATTTTATATTAATAGCTAGTGTACAATATTTGGGGGCTCGGTACATGCTATATGACCGGGAGCCCTTTTCTTGTGAAATAAAAAATGAAAAGTTTGATGGAGGAATATCTGTGAATGACTTCACTGCTTATTTTGTTAATTTCATTTTATTTTATTATTTCCAATTAATGTCTGTGTAGGAGTAATTAATTTAAGTGGTTTAATTAATTATAATAATTGTAACATACAATCTGATAAGGGACCAGTCTCATGCCTGTGGATTTGTCACCTCTCTTCTGATGCTACAGCTGTCCTCTAACTCGCCTAAACCCTCTCGGTTTCTCGCCGGTGTGTTGCAACCGGTGTCCAGCTTTTGTGTGTAGCCGAAGGACTGTAGTGTGTGTAGCCGAAGGGCTGTAGTGTGTGTAGCCGAAGGGCTGTAGTGTGTGTAGACGAAGGGCTGTGATTCTCTCTCTCTCTCTCTCTCTCTGTTAGCTGTGAGGTGTGAAGTTAGCAGAGGTAGTGAGCATTCAGGTTAGCCGCCTGTCTTTCCAAAAGTCAGTTGAGCAACTGAGTGTTGAGCTGTGTGCTTAGTCAAGCATCTGTACTTTGCTCGTAGATAAGGCAGCCAGTACTTGAGAGGCGGTATGTAAGGATGAGACCAGGGGAGTTCCTGTGTTATTATTTCAAAGCAACTTACAATATAATACTCAATAATGTATTTACAAAATACAATGGTTCCCTACCTTCGGTAGTGAGGAAACAAAATGGGGGCCGAATGGGCTAACGCGTGTGCACAGCACTGCGAGTTGCCCAACAACCAGATGACCTGAATATGAGATTAAAAAAAAAGTACAAGTTTGCGTCCCGGTGCCAGAGGGGATTTTAAATTCCCTACCCTCACCCTCCGGCTTGAAAAAATCCCATATAGCCTAAAAGGCGAGGTAGGGCGGAGCAAAAAAAAAAAAAAAAAATTGGATATAAATCCAACTGCTAGTATATTAGAGTACATGGAGTGAGAATCCCTGAGTGCTCTATTCAGAATGGTATGGGTTCTATTCTCAATGGGATCAGTTAATATTTGAACTTTTCAGTTGACAGAATGACTAACTGACTAAATTTATGCCTTTATTCACAGTTCAATTATTTTCTATGCTGCAGTCGTCTAGTATGGAATCAACTTATTCACTGTCTGTGCTGATATTATAAATTTTCCAACTAGAAATACCGCTAAAATTACTTTTCTCAAAAATATTGATATTGGAGTTAGTCATTCTATCAACTGAAAGGCTCATTTATTTCTCAATGGTCCCACTAACTACTATAAACTGGCAAACTTTTAAGTACCAACCAACAGAGACGGAGGAATAATAGATTGCCATTGGAGTTATTGTCTTTGGGGTTGGCGAAGAGGACCAGCAGGTCCACTTGTTGGGCTAGCTTCTCCCACCAGTATGACTACCAATGATATGCATTTGGAAAGAGAAAAAAACACCAAACTAACAGAACACATATATTTGTAATATAGACTTTGTCTTTTGTGTCAGCCTGCTCAGTCATCACGCTCTCTAAAAAAATTGTATTTCTTGGAATTTGTCAGTAAGAGTTTCCTTAGGAAAAGTCTTGTCATGATCCATCATAAAAGTGGAAAGTGGCCCTAGACATAGTCGAAATGTCTAGGGGCACATTGAATTAGACATGAGGAGGAGAGCATACTGAACTATTTATACCACTGGCAACTAGATAATTGGGAACATTTCCTTTGGAATATCTTGGGCTCTTTGTTTTAAGGCCATAAAATCCCGTTTTCAACATAAATAATAATTCTTATAAACCAAAAATAAAAATCTATTGAAAAGGTAAACAAAATAGAATAGTTCTGAGATTTTCCTTTAACACCTTGGATAACACAGAAAGAAACTTTGTGATATTTTAATGACAATAAACATGTTTTGTGGAGATGTTTTTATTTTTGTGGTTGTTAGTATTGTCCACTAGCAAGTTCCAGGATTTAATTTTGGGGGAAATTTCAGCCCGAAAGCTTATTTATTTTTCATATATATAACGATAATTAATTTGAAAAAAAAAAAGAAAGAAAGAAATACCTATACGACATGGTGTGTAAGTGATTCTTGAAGCCCTATTAAATGTAATTACACGGACAAGAATAATTTAAGAGATATTTTTTAATATTTTTTTCTATAAAACATGGTTATATTTTACCATTTGGGGAGGCTGCAGCTCTATCTCCCTCCTCCCCTTGTAGATCTGCCTGTGGTATTGCCAGAGCGATGTTGAAGTTCTCATCCAGGTCTAGCTTCTATAATCCGCTCTTAATAAGTGAGAGAACTATAAGCCAAGTATCTCTACTCTTTTGCTCTACCCAAAGGTCTCTGCGAGTAGGTATGAGTTTATGGATGATATAGTCTTCTTACTTAACTGAAGAGATATTTTCCTGTAGAGTAAGCTAATTATTTAATAAGTATACTGTTACTTCAAAGTAATCATTATAAAGTATGAAGCTTCACCCATTGTCCGTATTATTTAAACTTTATAATAATATATTGTTTACACAGATGAAAATTGTATTCTAATATCGCTGATACTTCTAGTGTTTTTGGTAGAAAAATGCAAGAAGAAGAGTATTTAATGCAAGAATTTTCATTTATTTGCCATGTTTATTTCTTGTCGATGTACTCATATTCCTCTATAGACCCTAATTTTTTTATCTCTAAATTTAAAAAAATATATAATCTTGAATATCGTCATACTTTTCCCTCCACAGTTGGAGGGACAAGTCTGGTTTGGAGTTCTCTCGCCAAGTTGTAAATATTGTATATAGGTGTGCATGTGTTCTTTTTATTTATTTATTTTTAGGTTATTTTATTCTTATTTATTGTATATATATTATTTTTCTGTATAATTTATTTTATTTACTGTACATAGAGTGTGAATGTGATCTGTGAACACTATTATTAATGTCCCTGAGACAGATTGTAATATATTTCAATAAATAAGCTTATAAAAAAAAAAAAAATCTTGAATATTGATAATTGTTAAGAAAAAAAGTTGTAATTTTGTTTAAATAAGCATTGACCAGTTGACTTTCTTTTTTTATAGCGGTTTGGATGTGAAGTGGTTACTTCTGAAAATTGGATTGGGAGAATCAAATGTTGCTGCTGGAGCAAGTACCTTTGTTGTGGCATATGCTGTAAATAAAGTTCTTGCACCTATAAGAATTAGCATAACCTTAACTGGCACACCATTTATAGTCAGATACCTAAGAAAATTAGGATTTCTGAAACCTCCAAGTTCCTCTTAAATTATTAATATATATATATATATATTAAATTTTAATGTCAATTTAATATGTATTTCTATAACTTGGGGTGAATTATTTTGAATAAATTCTTTCAAGTTTCGTTTTTTATACTTAAACTCATTTGTTTCACTTATTACTGCAATAACTTAATTGAATTTTGTTATGTTGATGTTAAATTATCAAATGGAAATGAAGTAATATTTAGTATATTATTTACAATTATTCATATGTATCACTAGCGGATCCAGGATTTAATTTTGGGAGGGGCTTCAGCCCGAAGGATTTTTTTTTCATATATATAACAACAATTAATTTGAAAAAAAAATGAAAGAAACTAACTATTCATATGACATGGTGTCTTAATGATTCTTGAAGTCTTATTAAATATAATTATACGAACAATAATACTTTAAGAGATAGTTTTTAATATTTTTTTCTATAAAACATATTTATATTTTACCATTTTAGGGGAACCCCCGTAGATCCGCCTGTGATATGTATCTACTATTTTAGCCCAAGTATTTTATTTTTAAGTTTATGACATATCAATATCCCTATAGAAGGTTCTGACTTTAAAACTTCCTTGTTTTCTTCTTTATTATTTATCTCATCACATCACATTTTGGGATTATTAGCCCATCTTCAGAACATTACTATTCTAAAATTTATCGCAATTGCATTTTTAGTTTTCTGATTGTATTTTAACTTGCAGATATATTTTTTTATTATAAATAAGATATATTTATCTTGTCAATGTTTAGGCACTGATGGTTTTGACATTATTTCATCACTAAATTCAACTACATTATTATTATTATTTATTTGTTACACAGATGAAATGGTAGTTGATGACCAAATTTGGTCATATATATTACAATCATATATATATTCAAAATTATTTTATATGAGTGAATTTCAAAACAGTACTCACAGTTCCCAACAATAATTTCTGTTGGATATTGTCATATAAGTCCAGTACCCACAAAGAAGATTCCTCTAGTATTAGCCCATTGCATGAAATAACCAATAGTAGAATATTTCTTTCCTTTAACTCATTTAATTGTTTCTATTCTTCTCCTAATTCTGCATATTTATTTTTTTTTTGCCACTACCTTGTGTAGATTATCGTCTGATGGAACTCGAATCTCTATAATAAATTTTATTTTCTTTCCTTTATCTATTATTATTGCTATTTTATAAGGGAAATTGCTACTTCTAGTAACAGAACATTACTCAGACCTAAGCAAGGGTAAGGCTAGATAAATGTATTCTTTAATGTTAATACATTTTCTGACAATGCTTGTAGTATTGCAGAGTAACACTGCTTTCTGCATTTGTTCTAAACTATTAACTATTCATAGAAAGGTCCAAGTCGTACATAGAGTTTACCATTGTGTCCAGGATCAAACCATTTACAGAAATGACAAATGACAAAACCCTCTCTCTATCAAGTCTGTACAACTGTTTCAGTTTCTCACCAAGATCTTTGTGATTGTTCTGCAACCATCTTGTGAAGATTATTATCCGATGGTACCCCTATTTCGAATCTTTGCATGTTTCTCATCTTTCAAAATAAATAAAATGTCAGGCCTGTTTTGCGGAAGAGTACAATCCATTCTAATGGCAGGATCCTAGTATTATCTATCAACCAGTATTACGTGTTATCTATCAATAACTGATTGTGAGCTGTACTTTATTATAGGCAAGCATTGTCTAAATATCCAAACTTCTTGACTAATTTCTGACAAATGATCTTTTTCTTGTCTTGTCCGAGGAGATATTTGTTTCTAGCAAGTTCGTATTCAATTATTTATCTATAATGATAATGAGATAAATAATAAATAAGAAAACAAGAAACTTTCAAATGCCTAAATCTTCTATAAAGTTATAGCTTCCTATACTATTTTGAAAAAAACAGCAATATATCCTTATTTGTTTAAAAAAAAAGGGTTTCTATTTTTTATTTAAAACTGTAGCTTAACCACAATTAGTTGGCATCCTGAGGGAGAACTCATGTGATACAAATTTGAAGGTAACATTTGTTTTTTTTCTCATAACATCTGATATTACTTACAAAATATCACAAGTATATTCACACATTACAAAATTACATCATCATTCTATATATGTTTATAAATATTTTGTGAATAATATTGGAGGTTAAGTGAAACAACAAAATGTTAATTTTAAAATGGTAGAGCATGAGTTCGCCCTCGGGATTCTAACTAACCGTGATACAGCTATAATAAACACTGCCATATGATATAAATAAGATATTATTTTAACTGAGTATAATTTTATCCCAATGATTAAACAATAGTTGTTTTATCAAAAATTATCGATCAAACCTAAAGTATTTTATATGCATTTGATAAGTTATTATTTTAGTTTATCGTTTCTAAATGAAAATAATTATTTTATATTTTATATGTGGTTTTAAATGTTATATATCTAAACTTATTTAAATACATTTTGTTAGTAGTTATATTATTGTAATTCTTACAATCAGATTAAAGTTTGTGAGTTAAGTTTATTATAAATTACATTTTCCGTTTCATTTAAGTAATTTTGTAAATAAGGTAATAAAATAAAAAAAAATGGTTTCTTTACTTTTTATTATTATTTACCACTTCTATTGAGTATTTATTTTTGATATATTATTTCCACTCCAAGAAATATTTGCTTTTCACATAATTAGTTTTCAATATAACCTAATTCTTGAAATCTTTGTGAAATGATAAATTCGAATATTCTTTGGTGAAGAAGTAGATTAATTATGTATATTTCCAGAAATTCCATTTTTAACATGCTGGTGTTAACATGCTCAGGGAAGTCTACTAGATACTTATTTCCTCGTCCCTATTATGAGGAATATTTATAACATTAACTCTGATGTTAGTGGAAGGATTGAAATTGGGACTTCATAAAGAATGAACAACGATTTTTTAAAATAAAAAATGGGTCTGATGCAAGCAATACCAGTTTTACATTTTTAAACTTGAAAAGATTATACTGCTGTGTTCTTCAATATTGGTAAAGTTAAGCCATCTAAAATGCACAGGATTGAAAAGTTTTCATATTTGATAGTTTGTATTTGTATCGATATGTTATAAAAAAAAAAAATAACAGTATACATTTTTTTTTTTTGCCATCAAAATATCCTTTAATTAACAAGATTGTATTTACCATTCTAGCAATGAGTTTGTCTAATGTCTCAAATTATTCCATATTATGGTATATTATACCAAATACTTTTCAAAAGCGACCAATTATTATTCTGGGAAGTCACAGCATGATTTTAGATCTTCCTGTCAAGCTCTTACCACTAGGGAATACAGGATTTCATTTTGGAGAGCTTCAGCTGGAAAAGTTTTTTTTTTCCTCTAAATATAATGATAATCACTTTTGAAGAAAAAGCAAGAAACTTACTGCCTATAAGAAATGATTTTAAGTGATTCTTGAAATCCTATTTAATGTGATTATAGGGACAATAATACTTTTAGAGATAATGTTTTAATATTTTTTTCCAAAGACATAGTAATGTTTTACCACTTTGGGGGAGGCTTCAGCCCAAAAGCCCTCCTTCCTCCCTCCCCCTGTAGATCCTGTGGTTTTAGGGTATCACATGTTTTACATGTCTCAGTAAATTGGCCTCCTCAAGTCTTTGTTTTATTGTTGCTACACCATTTATTGTGTAGACACCATTGACATCGGCTCGAATCTAAAAGGCAGCCAGTTTTCTGTTCTTTTTGCAATCATCAAATATCTTCTTGGGTAGATGCCATTCTAGGTCTACCTGTTCCAGTTATATTGTGGTGTGAGTATGTATCATCGTAGCGAACAATAGTGTTATGCAGTGTCGGCCTTAGACATTCGGCGCCACCAGGTAACGACTCCATCTCCCTCCCTTCTCCTCCCTCCAAAAAATTTGATATTTTCAAAGATTTCGCATCTTCCTTATTTGCTCCTTCAAAATAATAAATTGAATAAATGTTTATTTCGCTAACTCTTATAAGGCTGGTTATTGAAGACATAAATATGAGAATTGGCTTAACATTTTCAAGTTCCAAAAATTTCAATCACTACATTTACAATTTGTGTGTGTATGCAGCTGAAGTAATTTTTTTTAAATAATTGTTTTATTTCAATTTCAGTCTTCTGGTTGTGAAAAGTGATCTCACCCCTCCTTCAAAATGTTAAAATGATTAAAAATTTACTTCATTGAATCATACAAGACAGGTTATTAAAGATAAAAGACAATTTCATATGATTAAACATGAAAAATAGCTTACAATTTTGAAGTCGACAATTACAATCGACAAATTTCCAAAACTTTGAAAAACTTATTAAATTTAACGAACCTGTTTTGGTCTTAAATTGTGGTATATTTAATATAGTTTAAAAATGTATAGTATGTTTGTGTAAAAAACGTACTTCATCATAGTCAAAGAGCACTAGCGGATCCAGGATTTAATTTTGGGGGGGCTTCAGCCCGAAAGCGGTTTTTTTCATAAAAATAACGATAATTACTTTGGAAAAGATGAAAGAAACTAACTACCTGTATGAAATGGTGTTTAAGTGATTCCTAAAGCTCCTTTAAGTGTAATTACACAAACAATAATACTTTAAGAGATACTTTTTTAATATTTTTTTCGATAAAACATGGCTATATTTTACCATTTGGGGGGGGGGGCTTCAGCCCGAAAGCCCCCCCCCCCCGTAGATCCGCCCGTGTCAAAGAGGGACTTCATAGTGGAAGTCGAAAACTTGGATTTTACATCTTATTCATATCCCATACAATAAAATTAAAAAAAAAAACCTATCCCCATTCAATGCAACTTACGATGTACAAGGTTACTGGGCTATACGTTTAGTTTTTTTTTTTATTTCTAACAAGTGGTGAACGCCCCTGATGACGACACTTAAGGTAGCCAAATAATGGTATATCCCTAGAGTCAGCATATTTCTCCTGACTCTGTATAAATACCCCTCCCTTACCCGCCTAGCAGATAGTCAGACATTGTCACTCATAGTAGATAGTTAGATGCCATAGTTAGTTGTAGTTTATATATTTTGTTCATTGTATACTTTTTGCCAAATAAACTTTTTTTTTAAGTCCAAGTGAGTATCGAAGATTTAATTGGCGCCCGAACGTAGGGACTTGTGTTAACTTGAAGAAAGAAGAGTGAAGAAATTACTTTAAAGTAACAGCTCTAAGTGTCAGGTCAAGAAGATTCGAATAAATAGTCATTGGACAACAGAATCTGGAACTGGCTGCTTCAAGGTGTGTTCAACACTTCAAACAGGTTCAAGAACTTACATTGGATCGGAGGTACTTCGGAAGGACTTAAAAGAATACTTGAGGTACAAATCTGTAATTTTTTTTTGTTAAAATTTTTTTTTGTATAACAATTTTAGCTTTGAAATTTATATAATTTTTTTTATGCCATTAAAATTAAGACATAGTAAATTAACAGTATATAAACCAAAAATGTCTGATTCAGAATTAGAAATTGAACAAACACAACAACAACATCTTCAACAAGCACAACAACAACAACAAATTCAACAACAACAACAAATACAACAAGTAACACAACAACCACAAATGATTACTTATAAAATGACTACTATGGACTATGACCATATTCAAGATTTTTACGGTGACTAGGGAAGTTTACGAATTTTTATCTGAGGTTAGGGATGTTTTCCATTATGTTTGCAAAGCTAATAATACTTTAGCACTAGAAAATCACGCAGCTCTTTTAAATAAAGTAAAATCAAAAATTAAGGGAGAAGCGAAAAATCACATCCGAACTCAACATTTCGTGAATTTAGATGAACTATTAATTTTTATTGAAAATAATTATAGGGACCAGAAGACTATATGTCAACTAGACCACGAACTTATGTCTATGCGTCCATTTAATTACGAAACCCTATAGAGTTCATTAATAGAGTAGAATCCGCACTATCAGTATTAATTTCGAGAATAAGGATTGATAGCGACATTACATTTCAAGATGGTCATATCAAATACATTAAAGAAAGAATTACACATCATGTAATTAGTTGCTTGCCAATAGAATTGGGAAATTACATGAGAATTTTTGATCCTAAGGACCTTATTAGGTTAAGGATTAAGTTACAAAATGAAGGTTTACCTTTATTACCACAACGTTTTCCTAAAAAAGGTTATAATAATCATAATAAAAATGATAAAAATCCTCATAAGCAAGACTATAATAAAAATGATAAGCCACATTATAACCAAAAATCAGATTATAACAGGTATGAAGAAAGAAATTATAATAAATACCAAAATGACAGACAAAGATACGAACAGCAAAAAAAACACTACCAAGACGAAGGTAGATATAGAGAAAATAAGCCACAAGCATGGCATGAAAAAGACAATTGGAAACAAAACGACAAAAACTATAATGAAGAATTCCCCTCAAGACCGTTTAAACCAGATTCCCAAAATACGGTTTCTAT